CTCTGACGGGGTTTTTCTTTTGGGTCGACTTTTCTTCCTTTTTTTCTTTTTTCCTTTTTCTTTTTTTCCTTTTTGGTATTTTATTTAATTCTTTTTTATTCAAGTGAATTTTTTATTTTATTACTACTTCTATTTCCACTTTGTTTCCCATCTGTTCCTTGACAGCACTTTTCTTTACTTTCTTTTCCTTTCCTCTGAGTTAGTTAGGAACTAGCCAACAGCAAGAAAAAGTGAATGAAAAAAAATAAGTAAATGAAACAGAAAAATAGAGAAACAGAGGAAGAAAAAAAAATAGAGGACCGGGCCTTGTCGATCTGGATTTCATCCTGGTGGGAATCGTGTGGCCGTGGCGGGAAATAATGATGATACATACACAGATACATACATACATACACCCACACCCACACACACACAGTCTGGAAAGTAAGTATCTAAGTAGTATTGGTATTGTCTTGGTATCCAGCATTCAGGTCGGAATTGGATTGTTCTATCGGGTGTACGACCTTGCTGGATGTATGTTTTAGATCATGATCCAGATATCGACTGCAGAGTTCAATAACGAATATTGCTAGAGTCTTATCTTGACTCTTTGTTTCTTAAGATGATCTCACTCATACACTAGTTTTCTCACAGCCATACGTAGCCATGTTTATTTATCACTTCCCATTGAATTAGTATTCATGATGGACCAAATGACTGCTGTATGTTGATGGATCTTGGTGGTAAGTTAGGAAAAAGAGCTACTTAAAAGTACTTTACCTATAAAAGGTACGTACCTTCACGACGGATACCTGCCTACCGTGCTTGCTGCGACAGACCCAATACAGAGAAGGTGTTAATCCCAGGGCCATGCAGTGGATACATCCACCGTCGGACCCAACCCAACCAAACTACCCTGCGACCAGATGACTGCTGCAGCCTGCGGGTTTGCAACCTGACATGGTCCTTATTTCCATCGCATGCAATAATTTTTGTACTATCCTCTGGTAGTTGAACAACCCTAGGCAATAAAGTCTGCATTCTTTTCTTTTTTTTTCCCCTTTCTTTTGATTTAATTTCTTTTCTCCTTTACTTATTCAATAGTTTTCGCTCTTTCGTTTATCGCATGATATTGCTGGTGAATGGAAGATGCCGATAACTTGGAAATCAATGAAGCTTAAAAACCACCGGGCTTTTTGTAACGTATCCATGGCTTGGGGTTCTGTCTAAACCAAGTGCATATACATACCACAACTTGATCTATCTGTCCACAATCTCGTTCCGATGCGTCAACGAGAAAACAAGAGATTTGATAACGATCTCTCAAGAATCATGTAGGGAGGGCAGCATGTTGCTCATTATATCGACATTCTGAATGAAAAACACCACCTCCCAAGATGGAGGGAAATTGAAGGGTCTTTATCTGCAAGCACACACCATCTTAAGGTAAGGGGACGGATCAAGTACACACAAAGTATGGGGTACAATAGTCCCCCCTTGAAAGGGTTGTACATATACTTAGTAATGATAGTGGTAATAAGTAACTAACTAATCAATTGATACATAGCAACCAGGAAACAAAACTAACAAAGGGCGGGAAAAAGAGTGAAGAGGCAAAAAAAAGTAGACGAAGGATCGTGATCGACGTGTACCTACCTTGAGGATTCATAAATATGGCCGAATCGCTGCACGAAATCTGCAAGGACCTGAGCGAATGCACATGCAGAGAGAGAGACCAGAAAGGTCGTGAGGCCTTTTCCCTGCGTGGTGTCGCGTTGTGACTCGTCGGGTTCCATTCGCGTCCCATGGGCCCTTATCGTCATAGGTCCTGTCCCGTTCTCCGCCCTGACCTGGTCGGGAGATGGGATGAGCCGAAACTCGACGGTCACTCGTTCATTCATTCATTCATTCAATTCGTAGATCGGTTGCCGTTTACAGCCACACCTCAGCCCTTTTTTCCATTGTTCAATCACCTTTTGGATCGACCATCATTTTTTGCCCTACTGTACAGTACAGTTGAGCTGGGCGGCTGAATGGCAAGTAGATAGATGTTAGCTGAACTTTATGGATGAATGGAGAGAGGCGGGAGGGAGGATGGGGGCGCTGAAATGGCGGTCTTAATGGGATTACTTATTTTTTTTTTCTTCTCTCTTTTTTTTCTAACAGGGGATTAAATTGGCCCGAAGAAACTCTCAACCACAATCAAGGACCAACCAGACCGATGACCGGGTAAAACTGGCAGCGCCTGGACTTTGTGGGAAAAGTTCAATGAAAGGAAAAATGGCCCCCACCCAATGCGCCCCAGACCCATGGATCGTGGAGCAAGCTAGCCTGCTACTTGTCTATGACGGAGGACTAATCGGGTACCCAGGAGACATTCGAGAAGCAAGAACGGTCCATGTGGGAAGTGGATGGTGCTATACTCTGAATAAGTTAAATTGTTGAATTTTTCTTTTCTTTTACTCACTAGCACATTTGGAGAATTAATTGATCAAATTGATGGGAGGTATATTACCTATTTACACACAAGTACCATAGTAGTCTGTGGTTCACGTTAATAATAGATAGATAGTGGCCGACGGGGAGAGATGGTCAAAGCGAGCAAGACTAAAAAGAAAATAAACGGAAATCGATCAACTGATTGACTTCCAAACTAACTAAATACAATATGTAACTAAATAGATACTAGACAAAAGTATGCTTGCTGCCAGATTGACTTCTAGTGAGGAGAAAGCGAAAAGGCAATCAACAACATTTCATTCCAATTGAGGTCATAGCCCAAGAAATTCCGCACACACACAAGGTTTGTTGTGGGTGTGGATTTAGCTGCGATTATATAAAAAGAAAATTATGAGTAAAAAAGGGCGACCATTCATTCCATGTGAGGGCGACTCCACTGGGGGCAGCTCGAACCATGGAAATGAGGTCCATGTGGTGCCCATTGGTCAGGATCCGGGCACCGGCGGCTCGTACGGTAATTTTGGGCCACCGCAGCCTGTCATTGATATTACATGTTTACAACCAGTACCGCCTGCGCCTAATCGGGCAAGTCAGATTGCGGATTCTGGAATCCCACGAGTTGTTTTTTTTTTTTTTTGTTCGGTGTTCTGAGACAGAATTCCTTCAGCCTCGTGAAGGGCAAAGGGGGGCGCTGGCTGATTCATGGTTTTTCCCATCGTTCCAGAATTTAGCTAGTTTGTTTCATTCAATTCACAATGGGACATGTGGTGGTATTATTCATGTCTATGATCTAAACTCTAGTGCTTGTCTGTATTGATTTAGTATTTACATTAGCACTTTACTTAGTATAAGTTCTAACTCTCAGCTTTGCCTCGACGCGCACGCGACGCGACCGACCAACCGAACGACTGACTGCACTGCAGGATCCCGTGTGGTAATCAATAACTTTACCTACTTGGGAGTTGGGAAGAACCAGTCAACGCAACTTCAAGTGGCAAGAAATACGAGCGTCATCAATTCCGGGAAAAGGAAGGTAATCAAATTAATTAGCTCCAATAAGTCTGGGGAATGATCATCATCATCAATAACATCATCATCATGATTATCCCATGGAAAAGGTCATTGGCATGAGCAAGGGAGCTGTTCTCTCTATCTATGGATTTTCATTCCCTTGAATCCATGTGTATCGTGAGCAATTTCCGAAAGATGGGGAAAGGGAGGGAGGGAGGGAGAGAGATAAAGAGATCGATCTAAACTATTGGAAAAGTCATAATAACTACGGATTATTCTACCAGGAATAAGGCTGCCTAGTGTTACCCTTTCCTAGCTTGGACCACCCTTACTTCTAACTACACGGGAAGAAAAGTCGATGATGATTATATCAATACGTATCCACCACCAGAAGAACACTTTTCATTATCAGTAACATATTTGCCCATGCAGGTATATCATTTTAAGATACCACATATGCACATACATGAGAAAGCAAGTAGGGTCGGGGGTGTGGTTACACACTATCATGCCGCTTGCTTGTTAAGCAGCCCCCGTCCGTCCCTTGCAGATTTCCGCCCTCCTTCTCTCCTTGCCTTTGCACTCGGCCGTTATCGATGCAGACATCCCACCCACCATCAACATAACCTAACCCTTTCTTTGCTTCTCGGCTGGAGAAACCCTCAACCAGGGATTCCTCCTATAAGTACCTTGGGCCGGATATCTGATACAGGACAGGGCCTTTGTTGTATTTCTTTTGTTGCTGGAATGGAGGGTCCATATATTGAACCATGGATGTCGATATCCCAGATACTAGGCATGTCCCAGGGAAGGGAAGTTTCTAGCTGTGTTTCATATAGGGTGAAACCGGGCTGAAGCTGAAAAGTCTCATAAGGTCACGAACAGTATATTATTTTTTTCAACGCTCTACTAACTAACTAGGAATCTCTTCTACTGTGTTGTGCAGCGCACAAGTACAAGTTCGTACGAACCATCCAACAATCACCTCTCAACGACCCACTCATTTCCACTCCTCCAGCTGAGGTAGGGTAGGTGATTGTCTGGATCTCTCACCAGTTCTGCAAGCAACATCCCCACTCACTCAACTCACATTGATCCGGTCCCTCCGAACAGCTAACGCGGTCACAGCCTCTTTCTTGGTTCGTGTTAGCTTCGGTTGTTAGGGACGCGGATGCGGCACATTTGCTCTGCTGGAGCAGGGCTTATTGTTATTATTAATATGGCCTGTTGTCGGGCCGGAAATCGGGACAAAGTCACTGAAGTCTAGACTATTACTGTTGCCGTGTGGCATGGTGAAGTACATTGTGGTAGTTAGAGAGGAGTGTTTGAACCAGGTGATAGCGACTGTAGCGAATGATAGAACCAAATAAAGTATGACTCCAAGCACATGTCATGCACCCTTAATATCAGATATAAGACCAACAACCCAAGTGTCCTCAACGCCATAGACCCCCTGATAACTAGTACTGCCCTTAAACACCATATCCACCCCATACACAAAATACCACATGCCCATCAAACCAACCAAAAGTACAGAAGCTGGATAGATATCAATCATCATTATCATCATCCTCCAACTCAACCACAAAATCCCCCGTATCACAAACCCCTCCATCCCCCGCGGCCAAATCCTCATCACAAAACTCACCCACATTCCCCAACTCATCGCCCAACAACTGAATCGTCCTCTCATAAACCTTCGCCGTCTCCATCTCCCACTTCCCAGGAACAGGCATATAATCCTCCAATTTATTCGCATCCCCATAGACATCCTCGAACTCTTCATCCTCATCCTCATCATAATCATCCTCCTCTGCCCCATTAGCATCCTCAATCTCCTTCTCTCTCTTCTCAACAACCAACACCCGACACGACTCCGCAATACTCTTAATCCGCACCTTCTCCGTCATAGACACCACACTCTTCTTCTCCCCGTTACCACTACTACCACCACCTAAAAGCTCCGCAAACACCTCATCCAACTTCCGCAGTAAGCGGAACGTAGGCGCCGCTGAGAAGGGATACTCGGGCAGATAGGAGTTGACTTGGATGGCTAGGGAGATGAGGTAGGGGATTTGGAGGGATGCTAGTATATACATCATACATCTCTGTTAGCATTCGCTCGCTCTCCAGGGACAACAACCAACTAAGAACATGAAGAATTGAATATGAGAGAGAGAGAGAAGGGTACTTACGCGTCCCACTAACCCAAAGCACATCCACCAAACCCTCCAAATCCCTCGCTACTTCCTTGAAGCTTTCATAGCCCTGCACCTCTCCTTCTCCCTCTCTCCGAGGTTCGAACGACTCCGGGGAATAACCCCTCGCATTGGAGTTGAATCCATCACCATCATCAGTAGGCTTGTAATAAGCACTACTGAATTTCTTTGCGTGCCGACGCGAAATCTTCAGTAATGTCGTATCGATGTGATTAATCACGGTTGCTTCTTTGGCGGACCCTGCGCGCAGAGGATGCGTTCGCGGTTTGGGGAGGAGGGAGGGCGTGCTTGGTCGTGGGGTGGAGGGGGCCGGGGATGGGAGGGTTGGGGGGAGGAAGCCTCCTGAGGTTTCTCCTGTGATTCCTCCGGTGGAGGTCATTGCTTTTGTTTGTTTGGTTGGTTGGTTAGGGGTGAGGTTGAGGTTGAGGTTTTTTTGGAGTTGCGATGGTGGGGTGTTGGTGTGGGGTAGTAGTATTGCGTGCAGGTACGAGATAGATAGTCTTATGGGTTTGGGATGCTGCTGCCTCTGCTAGAGGTTATTCGTATGCATGTTGTTGGTTTTCTGAGTGGGCTGATCTGATCTGATGCTCTTTGGTTGCTTCTGGATTGTTCGTCAGATGCGATGCGATGCGATGCGCCGACGATGTCATCGCCAAGCCGGGTTGGTCTGTGCGTTACTATATTGAATGTCGACGACTGATACAGTAGAGAATCTACAGATTACAAGCTATATGTGTATAATAGTTTATGGACATCAAATAATCATGTTATATATTTAGTCTACAAGAAGCGAACATATGCCTAAATCAGCAGCAAGTCAGCAATGCATCCAGAACTCATCTAGATAAGCAAATGACCAAAAGAATTGCTTCAGTAGGTGAGAAGATTGGATTATGCTGGTTTTTGTAGACATGGCATGACATCAAGCAACAGCTGAGTCTTGCTACTCTGGCCCCAGCGGATTCATCATATGCAGTGTAAACCATATGGAATAAGAGAAGTGTCAAAACTCACATCATCCGGCATCCCTCCAAGCCAATTCTCTATCGAATAAAGCACTTTTGGACGAACCCCCCAAACGCCATGCTAAACCGACCCAACAATGCCAAACAGGACGAAAGAACAAGATCACTCAGGCTGAGACACCGTTAGCATTACACATACCATATCCAAGGAGGGAGTAAACTTACTGCAATCTTCCCCTTCCGCTTCTTCATATCCGCCAACTTCCTCCTATCATCATCAAACTTCTTAAGCAGCTGGTTCTGCTTCTCCTTTCTCTTCTCACGAGACTGGAACCGATAGAAGTCCTCCAATCCCTTGGACTTCTCCTTCTGCTTCTCAACCAACTGCCTAGCCTCATCCTCATGAGCCGCCTCCGCCAACTTCGGTCCAGACGTAACAGTAATGAATCCATCCTCGTCGGGTTCCTGCGCCCTGCGCGCCTCCTCCCTCTTCCTGACCTCCGCGACCTGCGTAAACACCGTCATATAATCGTTAACGGTGCGTAACAACTCCGCCCGATCCGGATACCTCAACTGCTCGTGGGTAATGTACCTCTGCAGTCCCAGAGCAGGTACCCGATCGCCCTCAACACCCTCGCCCCAGACAATCTCCGTGCCCTTCTTCGCGGCCTTGCGCGCCGCTTTCAAACTCGCCTCCATGCTGGGCTTGTCGGCGAAGACGACGATCGCGTGCGACCCGCTCTTCTGGAGCTGGCGGTCCCAGGTAGCGGGGAGGTCGACATCGTCCAGCTGTGCTTGGAGTTCGTCGGCGGTGACGCGCTTGCGTTTCTTGCTGCTGGCGATGTTGCCTTGCGGGGTGGCTTGCATGCCCTTCTTTTTGGTCGGGACGGCCTCGAATTCCACGCGCTCTATGCGGCCTGCGGAGAGCTGGGTACCGAAGAGGTGGCGCAGGTGGGTTTCGGTCGTGTCGACGGGAATGTTCACGATGAACATCGAACGGGGAGTGTCGGCGTCTGGGATGCGAGGCTCATGGGCGCGGAGGTAGAGGTAGTGTGTTGCCGGTTTAGGATATGCTGGGGTTGCGGGGAAGTGTAGGGGCAGGATTGAAAATCCTGCGATCTCGAGATCTGCCTTCATTTTGTCTAGTACCCTCGGAGGTATTTGGTTTTAGGTGAGGAGAGAAGGTGAAAAAGTGATTGGACTGGTAAGGGTTGCGGAAATTGTAGCGCCGCAAATTAGTTGGCGGAGAGACTTTTTTTACTTTAGCGGGAAATTTTGCAACGGCAGTTTGGAAGGCGGAGAGAGCTGTTTGCGTTACCCGATAATCAACATCAACAGTACTTGGCCTCGATTCACAAACAATTTTTGATGACATTGTAGTACATTGCTGTCGCAGGTAGATAGCTTCAGCAGAAATTAGAAAGAAAAGAAATGTCCACTTTAAATGCGCCACATGGCCGTTACCCAGTTCTTTCCATACTTCGTCCTGAGCCATACTCATATCTTTATCGGGACTACACCTTATCAGGATCATTGATCCCACCATTGGTGATGACATACGTCGCCTCTCTTTCAGGGCAGTCTGTTGACAGTTAGAGCGTTAACACGAGATGTGTACACTTGACAAACCTGGTGAGTCCTGTATCTTAGCCACTCGCTCTTCACCACGGCCCTTGCGGAGAAGCACTCGAGTCGCCGATGCATGTGCCAGGACATGCCCTCCAACGGGCTTGCGGCCATCGGCTCCAGCGAAGAGTGCACTAGCGCCAGGGTCACTCTGGACCTGGTTGGTCTGTGTTGCATTAGACTATATTTCTGCATGTCGACGGAGAACGTACCATCAGAACACAGATGTTGAATTCTGCACATGGGAACGTCAGTCCTCTGATAGTACTATATATATATACCAGGAGTAAAAGGCATACCTTCAGCCATATGAGCCAGCTTCATCAGAAACTGATTCAATTTCTGCTGACGATCAGCGAGCTCGCCGCGTCCACAATAATCGACCCTGAAGCAATTCATAATGCTATCAATGATCAACAACCTGTACTCTCCACTAGCGAACTCTTTACTGAGAGTATTCAACAACTCCAGCTGATGCTCGCTATTCAGCGCTCGCGCATAGGCAATATTCTCCTGAGCAGCATCAGCATCGACACCAAACCGCTCCGCAATCTGAGCAATGCGCTCAGGCCTGAACGTTCCCTCGGTATCAATATATGCCACCTTGCCGTCTGCGCCACCGAGTTCCTTGGGAAGCTGGGCCACGACGGACATGGTGTGGGATAACTGAGTCTTGCCGCATCGAAACTCGCCGAAGACTTCGCTGATACTCATGCTCTGGAAGCCACTAAGTAATATTAACTTAGCCTTTTCCCTCTTGCAGCATTAGAGTAGGTGGAAGGAAAGAACTTACCCTCCCAATATAGAATCAAACTGTTTACTCCCAGTAGAAATCCGAACAATCCTCTTCCGTTGATGGCATAGTTCCATTGCCGTGATGAACCCCGAAGCCGAGGGCTGCATATATCGACAGTTCGTTAGCACCTCACCCTAGCACGAACAATAACCCCAGACGGGACCATCATCTGCGGTGTATATATACATACCATGCTTTTCTGAATAGCATCCTTAATCTTCTCGACCTTGACCTCACTGAATCCCTTTATCTTCAACAGATTCTTGCGGGTAGCACCGTGAACAGACTGAGCCAGTTAACAGCGAGGCTCGCTTTAAACATCAAATAATAGACCGGACAATTCGTACAGCAACAGTATAGTATCCATTTGTCTTCAGCTTCGTGATATCCGCTACTCCGATGCCTTGAACATACTATCAGTATACGGATATGAGAGGAAGCGGGTAGTGAGGGGTATATATACCATGCGATTGGATAGTATCGATATCAACGATGAAGACCTGTCATTGAGACAATGTTAATACAATGTTGGAGAATAGTTAGACCACGCAGTCAACGTCATTGCTCATGGGGAATAAAGACGTATGGGGGTAGAGGGATGGCTACATCATCATTGAACTCGTCGCTTGTGTCTGAGCCGGGCATGTTTGTCAATTGATTCAGTTGATATGGGGAGACCTGGAGGTTGGACAAAGACGAAAGATAGATACAAAGCTGATTGATTGTCAATTGCAGCTGCGAGCATGCAGTTGAGCATGAAGGCAGCTGGTATGAGGAGTAGACTAGTCCAGCGTCACGGGGTCTGCTCGTGACAGAAGAGCAATGCTAAGCCCACCGTACAATTGAGTGATGGCATATTTCAGTTCCCTACGAGCAGGGTGGTGACAGCATGAAAAGGCGACGTTTTCCACACCCAATCATTCTGTTAGCTGTACCCTGTAAGCTACTGATACAACAACATGAAGGCTTTATCCAACCCAGCTCTCAATATACTGCAATGGACCACTTTTGAATCTGAGATAATGCTTCTTTTTGCTTTTGTCTTTGTTTGTTTTGCTTCCCATTTGACGAATATCTGGAGGATATAGTACGAAAAGATGAGGAGGTAACCACCGCGCCAGGTACCTGTAGACCATTCACTATCTTCATCACACACAATCCCATCCGTTTCAACTTGAAGCCTCTTCCCATGCATATCAACGCGCTTGCTTCGGTCCACCAATGTCTCTGCTGCGCTCACTTCAACTTTCACCTCGCCTGGCCTCGTCTCCCTCTTTTCTTTGCCGCACCTAAATTTTGGAAATGAGAAAGATACCCGAGGAGATCAATAGACGCCAACCATAAGACCCTGAGCCGTGTATAGGATCCAAGCAATAAAGGAACCTAAGACTTCGTGAAACTTTTGTTCGTCGTATACATAATAGGAATAGAAACCGGTCGGTGCCGAGAAGTGGAACAGGAGGGGCGCAATATATGCAAAGGAAGAAACCATGGGAATAATGAAAAAAATGAGACCGATATCGGCAAACCCTATTACAAAAAAGAAAGAATGGAAAACAGACTCCCAGAAATTGGGATCAATCAGTCATTAAATTCGTCCTCTATGCGACAGCGGTAGTAGGAGCCGCAGCAGCAACGGGAGCAGCCTCCGCGCTGACCTCGGCAGCGGCGGCGGCAGGGGCAGCAGGAGCAGCAGCGGCGTCAACGGGCTGCTGAGCGACGGCCTCGTTGTTGGGGCAGTCGCGGGAGATGTGTCCGGCCTGGGAGCACTTATAGCAGACCTTGCCGGCGGAGCTCAGGGGACCGCCGTTGGGGGCAGTGCAGTCGCGGGAGATGTGACCCTATAAGATTCCGGTCAGCCTCCATGTCCGTATCGCATCAGGTATAACAGGAACACCTACCAGCTTGCCGCAGGCGTAGCACTTCATAGCCTGAGCCTGGCAATCACGGGCGAAGTGGTTGGGGCCACCGCACTTGTAGCAAGTAGCAGCACGGGGGTATCCGTATCCACCACGGAAACCGCTGTTGAATCCGCCGCGGGGAGCAGGGGCCCGGGGAGCACCGGAAGCAGGAGCGGGGCAGTTGCGCTAGGAGAAGGTCAACGGTTTTGCCCGGCGAACAGGAAGTTAGGAGCGACGAGACGACGTACAGCAAGGTGGCCGGGCTGGCTGCAGTTGTAGCAGCGGCCGTTGGCACCGTTAAGGCGCAACGTAGGACAATCGGCCTGAACGTGGCCTAGTCCCTGGCAGTTGTAGCATTGCTTGGCTGGATCGGAGATATATCAGCATTCCGGTGCGTTCCAACCACGAGGGCCGAAAACCTTACTCTCAGTCGTACGAGGACGCGGGCAGCTGCTGGACTCATGGCCTGTCGATTGATCGATCAGAGATCTCGTTCGAGCGACGTGACACACAGAAGGAACCTACCAGGCTGCTTGCCTGTTGAATAACGTAATTGAATCAGCAAATGAGGCGCAATGAATAAGCTGCCAATGAACAGGGTCTACTCACAGTTGTAGCAGAGACGCTCAGAGGAAGAGCAGACCTCTACGTCAGCCCGTTAGCAAATTCCAGCATGGACCAAGGCGTTTCTTCCCAAAGCAACTACTAACCAGCGTAGTGGCCAATGTTGCCACACTTGTAGCAGGCACGACGAGACAACAACATTTTATCGGTAATGATTGAGCTATAGAAGAGGAAGTCACTCGGTCAGCGCTTCTGGTCCATGCTTGTTAAGATCCCGCGGCTGGAAGAGCCATTCGCATCGGCATAGCAAGTGGGCGTCATAGAACACAATTCGTCGGCGGCGCAACTAGACGGAAATCATATATTCCATGCGCTCAGCTGCCGCGGACGAAGTGTAAGCGACTGGTTCCTCCACTGCCGAGTTCATAATGGAGGGTTGTCTTCCATGGAAGTAGGATGCGGACAAAAAATCGGCCGAAGAATGGGTGGAAGGAACTGAAGTCGCGAAACGGCCACGGGAACGTATTGAAGTCACGAGGAACATCTGACAGCACTCACTCTTCCTAAAACCAACAACAGATCTTCTAATCTCCTTGTCAATAGGACTGTTCGGATTGTCAGCTTGAGAACCTTGGAGGAGGAATAGCAGCACTTCCGACAGCCCACTCTTGAGACTCGAAAAAGTGGGCTGACAAAGCCAAAAGCGACACCGAATGGGGAATAACGATAGGGAAAAAAAAGACAGGAAAGAAAAAAAAAAAAAAAAAAAAAAAAAAAGAAAAAGGCACACAAACCCAGCACTGAACACACTCCAAACTAGACCTCACAGCAACACCAATCCCTCCGAACCACGAGAGACGAATAAGCAAAAAATAGATAGCTCTTGAACAAGATTTCTCCTGACACACAAAGGCGGATGAGTAGAAAAGGATTTCGAATGCAACAACTTAAGCGATGAAGCTAAGCAAGGAAACGGAAAGAAACCAGTGTCGCAGGGTTTCTTTTTCCGTACGGTAACAAGAAAGATACCGGTTCGAATCGAAATTTACCATGGGTCCCGGTTGCTCCCGTATCGCGTAAGGTGGGTGATTCGCTATCCTATTGGTTGTGAGCTCTCGCGTGCGCACGGCCTGAGGCACACGTTCCGGTTATGACTTGTATTGCCTTGATTACTGGGGATTGGCGGTACATGTTCGAAACCGTCCGTCTGGCAGTTGTCATTCTCGATGACATGCAGCTCTGTGGCGTGGTCTCTCGAGTCCGGTGCACTTTTCTTTTTTGGCTCCTGGAGCAGACACGTCCGAAGTTGGGGTTGGACTATTGCGAGACGGCCCAGTCTAGACCTGGCTTTGTGAAGACCGAGCTAGAATCATGTAGATATAATCGATCTGTTGGAAGTATACGAGGAAGCCAGATCGGCGAGCTGTATGGCCAGTGGAAATTCCAGCGGTAGTGAAATCTATGACCGCATCTAAGGCTGGCTGGTACTAATCAAGGCCCCCGGCGTGCAAATCATGGATGCTCTCTAAGCTTTCCTTGTCCCCCTCCCAAGGTTCGCCCACGGGCTTTCCTACGGTACGCCTCGATCGCGTCGTACAGAAGAGTATTTGGGACGTGAGCTATCAACATATTCGGCTTCAAAAATGTAACCCTGCCTATACACAGCGGGCGGTTGATTTATGCATTATTAGTAGTTCCATACAAGCTGTCCTAACTCCCGCAATATGATGATTCCATTTACTCTTCCTTCTCAACCACAGCCGGAGCCTTGAGCTCACGGCCCTTGAGGAATTCCAGCCCTTCTCCACCCTGTAACTCAAAGTCAGTCTGGTTTCAAGCACGCATGTGATAAAGCAATCGATTTCACCAATGCAAATACGGAAATACTTACGTAGCTGATCAGAGGCGAGACTTCCACGCCAACAGACTCGCCTTCAGTGACAACGACACCACCGGCCTTCTCGATCCAGCGCTGGCCCTGCTTCATGATGTCGGCCTTGCTGGTGTCGGGGTCGTCCTCACCAGTGCCGCGGGCGTTCTTGAGGGGCGAGAACTCGTCCTCACGACGCACCTCAATGCTGGCGAACTTCTCCAGAGGGGTCATCGGGAAAACGTCAAACACGAACTGCTCGAGCTTGATGCCGTTGGGCTTCTCGGGCTTGAAGGCCTCGCCGGTCTCGGGCTTGATGCAAGGAATCTTCTTGCGGGCAACGTGGTGGGGCAGCTTGTGAGACCAGCTCTCAATGGATTCGAAGAAACGGAAGGAGTAGTAGTGGTTGACAATGTTGGCGGCACGGAACTTCAGGACATCGGGCTGCTTGGGGTCCTTGGCCTCGGCCGTCTCCTGGTCGATCTCAGAGTATTCGACGACGTCGGGCTTGCCGTTTCTCTGGAGAATCAGACCGACCGACTCGGTAGCGTTGCGCTTGCGGACAACCTTCGTAGCGATGTCGACGTCCTTGGAGGCAGCAAAGCCGATGAAGACAGGGTCGGCAACCTTGACCAGGCAGTTGTCGACGCAGTAGGTGTGAATGTGCTGGATTCCACGCTTGCGCATGTCCTCCCTGACTCCGGAAGTCAAGAGGGCAAGGTAGATACCACCGTTGCCATCAGGAGCAACAGCCGCCTAAAACACAGGGTCAGAGTGGGGTTGGGGTAGGAATGTGACAGCTTGAAACGCACCTTAGACTTGCTCTCCATCAGAATCTTGCCCTCGTTAGAGATGCAAGGCAAGACACCCTGCTCGAAGATAACCACATTGCTCTTGTCGAGGCCGAAGTAGTTGTGCTGCTGGAAAAACTCCTCTGTGGGTTTACGGGTAGGTCCGCTGGTCATGACATACCAAGGGATGACGGCATCCTTGCCGGAAGACTTCTTCGCCAGGAGCTGGAGCTTAGCAATACGCTCGGCCTGGATCTGGAAGAGAGACTTGTGGCTGGGGAGACCGATGTCAAAGCAACCCTTGGGGGCGGAGCTACCCAGACGGGTGCCCTGTCCACCAGCCATCAACACCACAGCGACCTTGTTGCCAGCAACCAACTGCAGACCCTCATCGTACCACTTCTGAATATCCTTGGGGTCCGAATCCAGGATCGATGCGGTAGCCACTTCGGGGAGGGGTTCGAGGGAGACGGGGCCTTGCTCGGCCTTGGGAGGGTTCAGAGCCTTCTCGGCCAACTCGTTGATGCGGACGGGGTCGAAGTTGTTCAACTGGTGGAAAAGCTGGGTCTTCTCGGCGGGCTTCAGCTCGTCAACGAAGGCAAAGACCTGTCCTTGCCCGGCATCGGTGTACTTCTTCTTCAGCTGCTCGAATTCCTCGGGGGAGGGCTCACGGATAGCGGGCTCGGACTGGCCATGGATAAGGTTGGAAACGGTTTCTTTGATCGCAGCAGCGGCCATGATTGCGGATGATGGATTAAAATAGATGGGATATGATAATATGATGGGAAGGAGGGAGAAGAGGATGGGATGGAGTCTGAAGGGAGAATACTAGAGGGGTATAGAGGGGAAAAGAAGATGGAAAGAGAGCAAGGGAGGAGGGGTGTACAGGGTGTGAAAGCGCGGGGGATCTGTCCGTCAAGAATAAATATAACTAGTTAACTCAACATGCTACGTAGTCCTGCTGCAGCGCAATATTATTGACCGCCTGGATCCCTGAGAGTTTCAATTGATTATTTTTAGACGGACTAGCGATTGCCGCAGATACATTATTATGGCTTATGAGGGGCCACTATTCCCTCACGCCCATGAATTGCTCGATCGCAGCCCTCCATCCAGCTTGTTGCAGCCAATGGTCTCTTCAGCTGTTGGAGGGGCCGGCGGGGCTCGCCGTGGACCCGGTTTCAGGCTTTCAGGCTTCCAAGCTCACCGACTGGCGCCAGTTCAGATCTGCTCGTCCACCTGACCCCTGAAGAGGTTCCTGGATCGGGTCTGACTAAGAGGATGAGAAAAAGAAGGGGGGGAATCCAAGATGGAACCTAATCTACTAACTATGTATGGAGTAGTTTAAAAGTGCATGGTAAAACACACACTTTCGCTTTACAGAATGATATACCTATAATGTTGTATTCACACATCCGTCATTCTTCATGACGGTATCTTTAAAAATGGCATTATCATATGGTTAATTTACATTATTTTACCCCAAAGCATCAACGACGTCGCCTTTCCCGGTATCTATCGTCATCTCGGCGATCCCGTCGCCGCTCACCGTCGTTATGTCGACGGTCTCGGTCCCCGTAGGAATCTCGCCGTGGTGGACTCCGGCTGTAGGATCGATCTCGGTACCGATTACGATATGAGTCCCGCCGAGGACTCCGACTGACTCGCCTTTCCCGTTGTGGCTTCCGCGGTGGGCTTCGACTGTAGGACCGCTCGTCCCGATTAGATCTCGCCTTGGGCGCATTCTTATCGAAGACCATGTGATAATCATCGTCTCGTTGACGAGTGTTCTCTGTTGCTCGGTACTGGCGCTTCTTTTCGAGGCCAGCGACACCACCAAATCCACCCCGCTGGCCGCTGCGTTTGGTGATTGTAGCATTGCGCCAGCTCTCGGACAATTTAGATACCTATTTTTGTCATCAACGTTAGCCAATGTTGAATAGAAGTGCGCGGATAATAGACTCACACTCTGAGAGAAATCAACGTGGATACGGTGGTCATCGATCAAGACACCCTGCATCTTGAAGTATGCCTGTTCGCAATCCTTCTGGTTCTCAAACTCGATGAAAGCGTATTGTAGACTGTCACCCGTACGCTTGTCGCGGATGACCTCACATGACAGAATGGGTCCGAAGCGACTGAAGATCAGGTTGAGGTCCTCATCTAGTGAATGTGTGAGTTCAGAGCGTGACCAAGGCGCGATTTAGGATGCATACCTTGAGTGACTGGATTCAACTTGCAGACGAACAAGACGTTCTCTGGCGGCTTGACTTCGGCGAAGGGAAGATCGCCAACCATTTCCAGCGTCAACGCCTGTGCCCTTGCTTCGCGCTCCCGTCGCAGCCTCTCCATTGACTCCTCGTCCATGTCGTCATCCAAGTCTTCATCATCGGCGATTCTCACCGTAGCCAGCTGTGCCTTGGACGGCACCGGGCTCTCCGGTGGCTCCACCAAGCCTTCGGGGTCTTCAAAAGGATCATCGAGGATGACGGTATGACGAATACGTATGTCTTTGAGTGGCCGGCCGCGATCATCAATAAAGGCCTCGTTGACTTTCTCCAGGACGTCAAATCCCTCCACCACTTTCCCGAAGATCACCGCCTTGCCGTCCAGGTAATCAAGATTGTCTCCAAGGGTGATGATGAATTGGCTGGCGGCGATGCGCAGATCAGGGTCGTTGGGGGATGGTACGGTGGCCATGCTCACAGTGCCGCGTTCGTCATGCTTCAACTTGGGCGGGAGCTGGAGGGGAAATGTCCGCTGGGAAGGGCCCTGCAGCAAGCCCCATATCGACGATCCACCATCGCTTTCTGAGGAGTCGGGCCCAATCGGATCGCCAGTCTGGAAGGTGAAATTCTTTTGGACGCTGTGGACGGGCGAGAAATTATAATATTTAACTTTGCATAGCTTTAAAAAGCTAAAGCGGAAAACCACAGACAGCTTAGTTCCTGTTCAGCCACTCGATTTGTACGCGCGCAAGAAAAAGCACCGCAGCAAAACAGAAATCGAAGAAATAGGGGGGTGCTCACTTTTCGCACGCTTTAGGGGAGTCATCGACCAGCAAGTCGATGACAATGTCACCGAGGGAAGTTTCCAGCAGGACACTCATGGCAAATACCCGGCCGCTGCGGGCGATACTGCGAGGATCGACGATGCGTTAGACAGGAAGAGGAAAATGGGGACAAGGACAGGATAAGGTCCCGGAAGAAGATGAGGCGCTAATAGGTTCGAACGATCAAGGGTTGGGATAGTTGGGGAAAGAGAGAGAGAAGGTAGGGTAAGTGAGTGAATGCACCGAATGATGCAAAAGGACCAGGATGGATGCCGAGGAGAAGCGAAGCTCTGCTCTACGGGGCGGCAGGAAGACGCGAGTCTGTTTTAGTTAAGTTTTGGCGGGCCAACGGGTTCAGCATCGACTCTTTGCCTTGACTGGCGCAACAAATGTCACGAATCATGCGCACTCAAGTCCCTGCTGCCCAGTCAGATAATTCTTATTCTTATTCTTCGTTATTATTTGTTTCATTAGACCCATTCTATTAATTTGCTCTCTCTTTTTTTTTTTTTACTCTAAATCCTGGTCTAGTCGTCGATCAGCTACTTTTGTACTTTGTACCCAAATTACAACTAGTCTCTCTAGTCTACTTACAACTACGCTAGACATTATCTACTAAACAGCTGCTAGATGTCTCTCTCCCATGATCAAATGATCAATCAATCACCACCTCAATGCAACTAAATCATCCAACTGTCGATCAACCAAACCCCGGCCAGGTTGGTACTAAACTACTTATGGTCTGGCTCTGGCCAACGGGGTAGACTATATCCTGGTCTAACGACAGAATGACAGCAAGATGACGGGCTCACGGACCCTGAAGCATCGTGCGCTGCTTCGATCATTCTCGGCGCCTTTCGGGGTGTTCCCAGTTCCCACTGTCGGATGGTCGAACCGGCGCTTCCTCCTCCCGTGTAACCGCCGTCTTTCTCAACTGAGCGGCATGACTTCCGGAGAACCCTGTTGGACGAGAGCAATTAAGGCAAGAAATAGTTTTACACTAGGCTTGGGCCGAGATCCAGCAGGCACTGTTTGTTGCTGTGACGGAGCTGTTGCCGTTGGCTCCATGCCACAAGTTACCGGCTGTGCAGGCCGTCAGCTCTACGGAGCACAAAGCAGAGAGCTTTGGAAGTAAAGGGGACCAAAGGGGGCAAAAAGGCACGAAAATTCGGACTGAACATGCTCAACCAAGAATCAACAGGTGCACCACGGGGAATTGACCCGGCTCAGCAATAGAAAGAGAAGAGATGCAATTAACGGATATCTGATGCTTTGGGATGTCCCGTTCACTGCCCCGAATCCCATCTGCTTCGCGAGTTTCACTACAGGGGCGTTGGAAAAAACGGGCGGTCTCTTGCAGCTAGATCCAACAATCGCTCCATCGTTCGATCAATGACTCGGTGCAGCTAATGCCAGCAATCCTTTGCTATCTACTAGAGACACGTGGTGTACTTTACCTAACCCGGAGCCCCTTTACAATAAGGATCGACTCAGGGCGCCGTTAGGGACCGAGGAAATAAAATGGGATTCATGATCTCCCAAGGGATCCCCTATTCGGTGGCTGGTCCTATTGCCAATGGCAGAGGAGTTGACCTAACCACTATGTGATAGTGAGGTGAAAGAAGTAAAGTGGCTATTCCACCTTTCAGCTTACGGCTAGGACTTTGTTCTCGTCATTTTCCTTTTCCTTCACTTTTAACTTTCTTTTTTCTCATTTTTTTTTATTTTGTCCCTCTGCCCTTTCAAGCTGCCCCCTAATTTCTCCGCGTTAACCTCTCGTTTATCTGTCACTATCTCATGTTCTTTGTTTTTCTCAGCTCATTTAGTTGGCTACTGATCTTGAAACATAAGATTTCGGGTCTTATCTCTGTGTGATCTGCCTTGATCGCCAACCAAAAGACACACTAACCATTTTAGCTCCGTTCGCTGATCTTGTAGCTTCCGCGATATTCATTACTTTGCAACTACCTTACAACTGACAGGTGGAAACCGTTCCGATCTGGGCCAATCGTTGTTTAGGGAACTGATGGGTTTGAGCGCCAGCAGATGCTGACACTTTGACAGCCCCTGCCAGGCAGTGAGGATATGTACCAGACCCCGTGCCCCTGAACCTCATGCATACTAAGATCTCCCATGCCCCACAGCCCTTGTCAGGCCTCGTCGGGTTCAGGAAGTACCTCACCATTCTCTTATTCGCCAGAGAGCACTTCCCTTTATTCTTTTTTTCTTTTCTGCTTTTCTCAATGAGGCCAGACTTTCCCTTTTATTGTTCGGGTCTCCATGGCAAAACCTGGAATCCAGAAGCCATGCATACTAGTGCAGATCCAGTCCCAGCCCGGTGACCGGGACACAGTTTTAAAGACGGTCCATTATATACCAGGGCTATTCTCTGGTCCAGTCTTGGCTGCTAAGCCACATTGTGATGCTTTACTGGAAAGGAAATGATCCAATCGAGCCCAGAGGGTGCTGTGATTTCTTGTAATGAGATAATGAGAATTCTAGGAAACCAAGCTTTCTGAGAAAATGGGGCGATCTCATTGGAGCACGTCCGTTTGCACTGCAAGCTCAAGCTCGGTCATGTATCCGCCTTCTCCTTTACTTGACAAGGAACCCCAATATCTAAAGTGACTCGTGGCTATGACAGTCATTCGATCCGATTCGAGACGGATGCTGTATGCCAAAAGTACTGACTAGTTTAGACGTGCAGGTCATTTAAAAAAAAGGGAAGAAGAAGAACGAGGGTTGTTTGATACCGGCGGCTGCAGCCAATAGGATTATCTTATGTCGACCATTGTCCTATCATTGGCAAATATGCACACGTTCATTGCTCCCGCAACCCCCCCGTCAGTAGGGTAGGTAGATGGGCGCATCTGAGAGGGTTCCTGCAAACGTAGCCGGCGGCTGTCTGCTCCGCGACCGCTTATTCCTGATGCCGACTTGGCCTGTCACTTTGGACGCCGTTTCTTTTATGAAAGCAGCATGTCATCATCCAAACACTGGAGTGGCGGAAACAGAAGCACCAGTGGATGGCCCATTGGGAGGTGATTGGATGAAACAACTCAGAGATCTCAGGCCTTCCCAGCTAGGCTTGATAGGTCTTGCGGTAATGACTATCAAATCAGGTCACTTGGTGCAACGTTACTTTTGTGAAACAGAACCTCTAAAACGCCGGGGTATTTTGGCCTGCCTGGTCTACTATCAGCATGCCTTGAGGGTCCTCCAACTCACAAATTCTCATTTTCTTTCTTGAATAAGAATGCAACACGGAAAATTGCATGTTACTCCCCTGGTACAACCAGAGCAAGAACAGTTAAAGTATCAAACTAGAAACCCACCTCGAATCAGGACGTGACGTTAATTCCCCTTGGAACTGGGGAAATGCTCCTGGTGAGGTGATGATCGGTCTGGAAATGTATCCCCAAGGCTAGAAGCCAACAGCAGTGGCCTTTCTCCACGCAGAAAATAAAATGGAAATTAAAACAATTGAACCCAAAAGGAAAAGGGCCAGGCCTTCTTCTAGCAGCAAGACTACGCACCACTGACACATGGACTTAAATCTGGCCTTGCTTCCGGCTAAAACCCCCCCTCATCCCTCCCGGTTTCCTTTTAAATATTTGATGGTAGACGGAACATGCTGGTCCCTATCATCCCTGATCTACCGACCTTTTTATGCTCGCAGCAAACCTTTGAGAACTCTTTTTACTCCTTAGACTTGTCTTGACTACATGTGAGTCTTGTAATAAAGAAACCATGTTTTCCTCCGCACTGAATGATCAAGCTGTGATGGCTCAATCTTACTACTCTTCCGTGGACGAGGCCGGCTTCTGTCCACAGTCCAAGCGAGACGCCTTGTCAATAGCACACTCCATACGGAGTGAATCTCATCATGACATGGTGGATAGAAGCTCTGCTTGCGTGAGCCCTAGCAGCGAGCTAGATAGCAAGAGCCGGAACTCCACCAGGCGTCGGATACAAGTGGCAGTAAGTTACTTATCTGAAGCTGAGATGCGATTGCAGAAGGGACAGACACTGATCATAACCAGTGTAACCGATGTCGGAAAAGAAAGATCAAATGTAGTGGCGACAGTGGCAATGGACATGGTTGCTCTAACTGCATCAATGCCAGAAACAAGAATTGTCAATTCTTGAGGGTATGTACTGTGTCTCCATCCGAGACCTCAGCTCTAGAGACAATTAGCTGATCAGCCATAGGTAAATTCGGAAATGATGCAGCCGAGAGCCAGCGAATGGTCCCAGATCTCAGGAGCTACTACGATGTCTCCGTCTCCAAGATCCGGTCTGTATGTACCGACGACCTCACCCAATCCTCGCATGGCCCCTTTTCCGCGGGCCTCTAGTTATGATCTCGGGTCAGCCGATCCTCATAGTGCATACCATCGACACCCCTGTGGGGTGGACCACGGGTTGCCCTACTCAGATGAGGCTTCAGTGTATTCATCTCCGTCGTCTGGGTACATCCTGCCGAGTGCTCCACCGAACATTTTCATGGAACACTGCGGACAGACATGGAACCCGAAGTTGTGGAATCAGAGTGTTCCTGTTGGCAGGAGTCCCAGTGGACCAGTATATCCAGACAGCGATGCCGACGCCGCCCTGAGTCAATCGGCGTTTTACATTCCTCACTCGACGGAAGGCCTACCGATCGTCCCAACGATGAGCTTTCCTACCGCAGAAGGGCAAGGGACGGACCGAACGCTTCCCAATCCCAGTCGGAACCAAGCTCAGATGGGGATGAACACCTTCACGACAACTGAAGAGACACTCTACGGGATACCATACGGGTACCGGACCAGCAACAGCTGGGCCCACAAGAGCGCCATGTTAAACCATGGCCGCATGCAGAGCCCAAGCGAGGCTTACAGAAGCGGTCCTATCAACCGGAGTAGATCGGCACAAGATATGATGTTTGGGTACTTGCCGTCGAATGGCAGCTCATCACCTTTAGTCGCTGCTGGTTCGTTTGCTTCTGCGTTGGATGACGCGGTTGAGACGAGCGACGGGCTTCGCGCGAGCCCCAGCGACAGCCACCAACCATCGCGGACGTTCTCGCATGACCACCTTTCCGACTACGGCTCCGATACCTATGTGTATAGCAGTAGCGAAAGGCGCGACAAAAACCACTCGCACACCGACGGGGCAGGGTCGATGTTGATGAGCGGGCTCACGTACACGCGCCCAGTGCCGGGACATCCTAGTCCTCCGCCGTTGGTTCACAGCCCAGCGTTTCGAGCAGCCACGGAGATACACCACCACACCGCCATGCCGTCGCTGAACAGTTCGAGCGAGTACTAGGGACTGAAGTGTCCATGCGTCCCGATGAACGTCCAGGGTAGTTTACAAGCTATCTATAGACCGTTAAGCGCCTTGGCAGCGCCGATCCCCAGTTGGCCACCAACAAGGGCCCTAATCCTACAAACAGCGACGTCGGCAAACAGCACCAGTTTTCAAAGCCGAGTGCTTTAATTTTGTGGCCTCTTTACATATGCCCACTGAGTGAGAGAGAAAAACAAATAACTCAAATGTTACACTACTAATCTTAGGGTCGGTTGGCTCTGTGTTTTGATTTGTTTCTGCCCCTTATTTCTGTGTTCTTTTTCAGCCGGGTGCTATTGATTACCTTGTCAGCCTGACAAGATCCCCAGGGTGGGCTGGCTGGTTATTCTTTGTTCGCAGGTGGCTCGTTGGGTTTGATAGCACATTGCTTAATTAATTGTCTCGAATTGTTTCATTATTTGTTGGGCCACGGAAAAGAGGGGGCGCCGTTGTTACTGCTACTATTGCTATTGCTGTCATAATACTTTTACTATGTTTTGATTACCCCATCCATTATTCCTGTTTTCTTTTACACTTTTACTCTTACGTTGACTGGTCTTTGTTAATGCTGCCTGGCAGCCTAATGGTTACACCCGCGTGACCTTAATATGGGAGGGAGAGAGTGGAGAGAGGAGGGAGATGTATGAAAATAATAAGGATAGCATTACTTAATCACATACATACTATTGACCTATACCAGTAGACATGCTGTGAAGTAGCCGTAGACACTCTGATAAATCACCTACAGTATCCCTTTCTCTTAAATTGACCTCTACCTATCCCATTCATCCTCCCATCCCATCCTTATCACTAAACGGAGACCCCAGCTCCAGCTCCAGCTCATCAGTAGTATGACCATCTTACTCAACTAAAGTAAACTACTTACCTGCTTAACTTAACCCTCCCCAACCCACCCTAACCTCCCAAGTGAAACCCCAATGCCCAACTCCCCACATCCACATAACATCCACATCCACATCCCCGCCAAGCCGTTACCCCAAGTATAGTACCAGACTACTACCTACAATAAGTACAGGTAGTATAGTATACTACTAACTAATAATAAACACTCGTACACAAACACTAAATTAAATCATATACTACTCCAACCCATGTAACCCCCAAACCACACCACTGGTCTCCCGGTCTCCCGGGTCCGGCTTCCGCTCGGGTGGTAAGTAGTATGATGTGTATGTGTATGTGTACCGTGTCTATGGGGTGATGTTGGGTAGGACAACGAACGGGACAAAGAAAGAGATACTACTTACGTATTTACTTACCAGGCTATCGGGGGGAGGTTGGGGGCAAATGAATACTACCTTAATCTTTTTAGGTTTTGGATGGATGGAGGTTATGTCTTACTGTGGTGGTAGATAGTGATAGTGGGCTTAGGGGGTAGTATATGTGTATGTGGGGAATCTCACTACACTACTGGTAGTATCTGATAGGGAAGTTTAATTTAATGGTGGTGGCTGGCGATATACTAGGCGCGTGGGGATAGAAAGAAGGATTGTTGGATGGCGTAAGTTGGGAGGAGGGTGTAGGCCGGATCGGATTCCTAGATTGGGATTGCCTGTCTTCGTCTTTGTCTTCTGGGATCTGGGAGGTAAATGGTACATGGGCATGTTGTTTCCGGACGGAAGATAGACCGGGGGTAGGGGAGATTATCAGCACAGACATAGGTACGTAGTGTACTGTAGTGTAGGTATCTAGTGGTTATCGGGCTGGAAGGGAAGGTCGTAAGGGTAATAACAAAAAAGGGATATATTTAATTTTAATGGACATCCATCCCGAATATCCCCGGTACGCGCGCGCGAAAGAAGTAGAAGAAAAGAAGTAAGAAAAACGACCAATCCACACTCATCACCTAGGCGTCTTGTCTTGTCATGTCTTGGGGATATGCGTGGAAAGTGAAAAATAAGTTTTTAAGAAAATCTTCCCTGATCTTTTTTTCATTCTTCATAAGAGGGAGGGGGAATCGTGATATGATAGAGGGAAAAAGAAAAGAGGAAAACGAGAAAACAAGGAAACACAGGCGGGTTATGCGGTGCCCGCCCCAATACGGTAAGTAGAATAGAGGGAGAGTTAAAAAGAAACCATGAAACGAGTTTGATGATAACGCCCTCATTCACATACACACACGACAACCACACACACCAACCCAGTGTTCCCTTCCTTTTTTTCCTTTTCCCCCTTCATATCCAGCAGGGAATAAGTAAAAAAAAAAATTGTAACAATTTTTTCCTTTCTTCATTTTTCACTTCAGGCCCGGGTCCGCATGTCGACGATCGTCTTCTTCTCCATCTTCTAATTCTTCGTCGTCGTCCGAGTAGTAAGGTATCCGATGATCCGAAAGTGAATTCGAATCCTGCAACGACCCCCCTCTCTCTCAACCGCACGGAATTCCATCGTGACGATCCGCTTAGTCCTTGTTCTTCTTGGGGCCCTTGGTCTTGGCGGTACCGCGGAACTTCTTGGAGCGGTTCTTCCGTTGCTTGCCTGTAGGGTTTGTGAGTATTGTTTCGGCGGGAATAGATTGATATCATAATTTAGGTGGGTGTAAACATACGCTGCTGTCTGCTGGGCTTCTCGACCTTTGTGCCAGCACCGATGCGAACCAGACGGTAGAGGGGCTCGAACTTCTTCAGGGCCTCCTGGGAGTCGTAGATGAGAGCGAAGCCAGTGCTCTTACCACCACCGTACTGGGTACGGAAACCGAAGACGGAGACCTGGTCCTTGTTGGACTTGTACAGGTCGGCGAGCTTGTCGCGGAGCTCGTCCTTGGAGACGTTGGCGCGGTTGGGGTGGAGGACATCCCTGTTGGAAAGAAAATCAATCATCAGCATGCCGTTTATTCCCTTGCTGGTTTGTCCCAAATCCATGTTGTCTGTCCAATATGTCCGAATTTCAATATTCGATATTGAAGCACACACACAAAATATATTATAGTATATCCTCTGAGTGTGTGCTCAAAAATCGATCATTTCCATCCGGACATATTTCCTCCTCTTATTCCTCCTCTTGTTGTATCCGTCCGTATCCTCTCTGCATTTCCTCCTTCCAAATCCTTCCAGCTCATGGTGAAGGGAGCTTACACGACCATCTGCTTGCGAGCAAGCAGGGGGTTGCGGATGAACTTGCGAGTCCGCAGGGTAACGGGAGCGTCGGCCATGGTTGCAGGTGCAGTTGACAGCGAGAATCTGCGTGCGACAGGGAGAAGCTGAAGGGCAGAAACGGGGGGGCGCGGGTTGTCGAAGTCGCTGTCAGTCGTTGGCGGGCTCGAGATGCGCTCGATTCAATTTTGGCAGAGTTTCGTTGTGCATCGCCTGTGGGCTCGGCTAGGCTACACTAGCCTGATGGGGTTAGAATATTACCCTTTGTGGGTGTATCCTTAGTAATACATACCTTACCAAATACAGTTAGAACCATCAACTAAATACAAAGTAGTTATGCTAGGGTAGCGCATTGCTTACTAACCTATCCAATCCACTAAGATAACCACTTATCAGTATCTACTATATCACTTTTTATCTCAACTACAGCGACTCACACCAATTGCACATCCAAAATGTCGCTCTCCCTCCTCACAGCCCAATACTTCCAACAACTCGACCCCCATCTCCTCACCTTCCCCGAAGACAACCACCTCCTCCACCCCACCACCCAAGAAACCATCTACAACACTCTCTTCTCCGAATCCAACGCCGCAAATGACCACCACCAACCCCTCCCCCCACCCGCCTACCGCACGCGCGTGCTCAAACGCCTCATCACAAAACTAGAATCCCTACTCTCCAACCCCGAGGAGGATGTACGCTGATCCTGATTCCATTATCCCTTGAGTATGCTTTACACTGCATACCCTACCCACCCACATCCACACTATATCTAACCCACAATTCCATATATGTAGGAAATCAACGAATCCCTCCTCGAAGAATACAGCACGCTCCTCACCCTCCCCAAGCCCTCATCAATCGAACAAGCCCAACAACTCACATACATAACCTACACCGCGCCACCAGAAGAAGACGACGACCATGACTCGGAGACTAATAATAAGAGACGAACAATCCTCACCTCCGAATCCCGCTCCGCAATCATAACAGCCGGTACAACCGGCCACCGAACATGGGAAGCCGCTCTGCATCTGGCCACGTACCTCTCCTCCACGGCAGCAGGAAAGGCCCACATCGCCGGGAAGAAGGTGCTTGAGCTCGGGGCCGGCACGGGCATGGTGTCGATGTTCTGTGCGAGGTATTTGCAGCCGGAGGTGGTGGTGGCGACGGATCGGGAGTTGGGGTTGATGAGGCAGATTAGGGACTGTGCGGGACGGAATGGGTTAGTTGGGGAGAAGGATGATGGTGGGGTGTTTAAGGGGTGGATTTGGGAGTGGGGGAGGGAGTTGTCTAGGGGGAGTGGTGAGGATGATGATGATGATGATGATGATGACGAACTGCAGCAGGTGGGAGATGGTGAGAAGGTAGAGTTTGATGTTGCGTTGGGTGCAGATTTGGTACGTTCTTCCCTTCCCTATATTTCCCTTTGCTTTGTGGTCTGTATACAATGGAAGAACAACGTGCAACTCTGGCCCGAAGCACTGGGTGCAATCGCCTAAATCGGAGCGAAATTCCCCAGCACTATCCATTCCTCTGGCTATGGTAGCCAGCAAGCTACCTCTACACCGGATGAAATGGTGTGCATCATGTCGTGTCGTGTTGTGTTATATAATGTGCTGTCGTGTCGCGTTGCACTACATACACACCTACCTACCTCCTCCTCCTCCAACCCAAAAACGAGAAAAATAAACTGACAGGTAGGTACCTCAAACCCAGATCTACGACATCGACCTCGTCCCCCTCCTGGTACAGACCGTCAAATCCCTCTTTGAGAAATACGCCGTCAAGGAATTCCTTATCTCCGCGACATTGCGCAATGAGCGGACTTTTGGAGCGTTTTTGGATGCTTGTGGTGCGTAAAACCCTTTCTCCCTTCCCCCTTCCCTTTGTTTTCGTTTTAAGTTCTATTTGTATAAGTGGGTCGGGGTGGAACTGACTGTGTTTGTAATGAGCAGAAGAGAGTGCGCTGAAGGTGGAACGGGTGCCGTTTGAGTCGCCCGCGGAGGAGCATCAAAGGGGGTTTTTTCATTCGACGGTTATTCCGATTAGGACATATAGGATTACGGCGTGATTCTATTTCGGTTGTAAGAGGGGTTGTGTATAGGTGTGTGTATGTATGTTATAGACAATAGAAAAGAGTGATGGTCTAGATAAGTGTATACTATTATTCAAAGGTTTTTGTATAATTCCATTAGAGAAAGTACTAACTACCATCTCTTCTAATGATAGTAACATAAATATTTTCTGTATGTGTATGCAATATAGACATCGCTCATGGGTATCATAATATATCTAAGGAACGCCCTCCCCTCCAAGACAGGAATGAGTGAATAAAAGAGTAAGTAATGAACCACATAGGGAATGTGTGCATACACCATAGTAGTGTATGCTGAAACCACGCTCATCAACACTATAAGGTAGTAACTGAATAGAATGACAGCACCATGATCAACAAGATACTCTCGACATTAAAACAATATACCAGTGGTGGTTCACTGGCAGTCGGCAAGACTCTCCCGGAGTAGTCCCTCGTCTACTTGCTCTGCATGCACCGATACCGGCACTCGTGATCGCGACGGAGGCCGGAATCCCAGGATCGGTCCCTTCTGGTTCACTCCCGGGTATCGGAAGCGCAGAGGAGGGGCCAGTTGAGGCCGGTGGTGTCGGCTCTTTCTAGAGGTAGAGCCAGCGGATGAGGGCCTCCGGCTGGGTGTGTTGGAAGCAGGAGCGGAAGCTGTGGCAGATGTCTCGGCGTTGGGTTCGTTGGACGAGGTGGGCGCCGTGCCCCAGTGTCCGCGGACCCAGCCGCCCACGCGTCGGCCCAAGGAGAATTTGCGGGATGAGGTGGTGGTGTCTTCGGTGTCGTTCTCAACCGGGGTTTGACTACGACTGCCTGCCACCGAGGCAAGGAGTGTTTGCGGGCTTTGGTCGGTTATCATCGCCAGCTCGCTGCCCGCTGTGACGATACTGGGAGAGATGACGGGAGGCGTGGGGAACAAGTCGGCTCTGGAGGACATGATCCGGCGGGGGATGCGGACCGGGACAGCGCTGGAGTGGAGGTCGCTCAGTCGCGAGGGACGACGACTGGGTGTGTGGATGTCCATGCCAGCCACGGAAAAGAGACTCTCGTGGGAGGCGCTGCGGCGGGGGCCGCGATAGGGCGTGGAGAACATGCCCTCCTGGACGGCAGGGGAGGCAGCCCGCTCGGACTCGGGATAGTTTGTTGATCGCCCATCTTCCCTCTCCTCCGGAATGACGGACTGCATCGGGGCTCTGCCCGCGTATTCGGCGCTGCTGCGACGCTGGAAATAATCATGAACCAGTTCGTCATCAATGCCCGGTATTGACACTCCATCGCCATCCAGCGAGCGATATGCCGCATCGATCTGCGCCTTTTTGAACCGGCCGTTTCGCAGCGGGGAAGAGAAGACCGTGCTGTCAGGGCTTGTCGGCTGGGAAGAATCGAACCCGCGGTCTACCCGGTCAAAGATGGATGACGGCTGGTATGCCGACTGTGGGGAGCTGGCCATCGATTCCGTCGCCGGCGACTGCACAGACCAACGGTGAGGAACCGTCGGAGGAATAGAGACGGAGGTTTGCGAAAGGATCGTGGAAGCGGAGGAAGACGAAGGTTTGGAGCGGTGGTTTGGTCTGAGAGGAAGGGGTGTTCCTGCAGCCGAGTGTAGCACCGTCGCACTGCCAAGGGAGCGTCTCTTCTTATTGCGACGAAAGAGTGACCCCCGCTCCTTCTTGATGGCCGGTGAGTGATAGTGGTGATGGATGTGGAATTCCTGCGACACCCGACGCGACTCCTTCGACTCCAGTTCCTGACTGAGGGTCGTGGACGGCCGGATCTCCTGGTCCTCGGGCCCCAACGGCTGGTGCGACAGAACCTGATCCCGCAGATTCTCGACTTCCTGGTTGGAGCTTTCTAGCATCTCCCGCAACTCCATGATCCCCATCTGTAGGTTGGCATTATCTTGTAGGATATCTCGGACGAAGCGGGATACCACCGTTGCGCCGCCGCGATTACGGCCCAACTCCTGGGCCGCTGCGGCACCCTTCAGTCGACCAGCGGCGCCATCAAGCTCCCGTTCCACGGTCCGCCGCCGTTCCATGCGTTGAACCAGCTCCGCATGTCGGTCCCGTTCCTCACGGGCTTCCTTCTCGATGCGATCCACCTGATCGTGCAAGTCTCGCAAGGTACATTCAGCTTGGCGCCATCGCTGGACGGCCGACTTGGAGTCCTCCTGTGCGGACTGCAGGCTCTCCTGCAGCTTGGATTGTTCCGCTTCCATTTGCGCCAGTTGCGCTTCGAGATCGGCGGCGCGAGCCGCCGAGTGCGTGAGTTTGCGCAGCTCCGCCTCAGTGCTTTCGAGGCGGGTCTCCAGCGACTTGGAGTGGGAGTCGGACTCGGCAACGGCCTTGTTGAGGCCATCGAGCTGTTCTAATAGGCCGCGATTTTCTTCAATGATGCGGGCATTCTCGGCCTGGACTTCCCGCTTCTCGCGTTCTAAATTCTCTATACTGACGAGTAACCGATGGCGGTCCTCTTCCGCCTCGGCCATGTAGGATTCATGACGGTGGAGTAGAGCCTGGAGAGCAAAGGTTAGCGATGATGAACTGCTAGTGGCTGCCGCCATGGCAGCTTTATCTGGAAAAACAGTCATGACGGACAAAAACGCAATGGGAGAGTACTGGGGACGACGCCAGCATGGAGGATGGTGGTGATGATGGCGGCGAGGAAGCCACGAAGGCATCTCCCGATCGACTGCAATCTATTGCATTCATCTTCGCGAGCCCGAGCGATGATCAAATTCCAATGGTGGGCACCGATCCATCCAAAAAAGGGAACAAAAATGTGCGGGTAGACAGGAAGTATGTGCAGCCCGACAGAAGTATGTGGGTGGGCGGGTATACAGGAGAGAGAGTATAAGGATATAGATAGATAGATAGATAGATATAGATATAAGAGGGGCGTCACGCAACACGATGAAACGGTTAAATAAAAGCCAATGGGCAGACATGCAGAAACGAGAAACCAAGGCAAGGC